TATGAACATGTCTCTGTTATTGGTAAAAAGATCAGCCTGTTTGCTCGAGACGTAGCGGAGATATTCAATTTTTTCTAACTCTAATGACTTTCCGGACACCCTATACACATCAAAAGTAATATGGACTACTGTTATCGTTACATATTATAGCTAAACAAATCTAATAGAAATTTTATTATTATGATATTAGATGAATAATGATCAAATAGTGTAGAAATGTAGAGCTTTGTTTTTACTGTCAGTACATATAAAAAGAAAATTTTTTCAAGTCGTCTATGCGAAATTGAGATAGGACAGCGACTACTTTCGGTATGCTCTAAGTAGTATAGCCGATGACTAAAATTTTGACGAAAGTCATACCTCAAAAGCTAACCTCTTAAGAAATCTTTTGAAGTCATATTTGAAAAGTACACAAAATTTTGATTCTAGTCAAATATTTTTAAATATCTGTAGGTTTCTTAAAAAGGTTGAAAAAACGAATGAATATTTGGTCTAATTACTTTTCCAAGCAACTATTATTATGAAGTTGAATATTTTCTCTTGATGTATATTTTTATTTCTGATTCAAAAATAAAAAGAAATACAGATAGATTTTTAATGAAATACAAAAGTCAATTAAAATAATTAATTTTCTTCTGTATAAAGAGTTGAACATAGAAATAACCATTGTTTAAATTTTCGTACAATTTCTTGTTCTTTAAGATTACAATGATCATATTGATTTAATAAAGAAGGTTGAGGTAATTTTCTCACTTGATCTAAAATATTCATTCCTTGTTCAATAATTTTTGCAAGAAGTTTTCTTGACCATTGATTATCAATTTGATCTGGTAATGTTAATGAAAATAATTCATCATATGTTGATAGTTCAATATTTGAATATCTGTTAGTTTTTCGTAATGATATTGGTTGAAGAAATTTATTTTTAGTTCGAAATATAGTAGAAATATATGATGAATGACTTATTGAATTTATTTCATCATTAAAATTTATTCGATTAGATTTCATTGGTATTGATATCCAATAATGAATTTGTTTTGTTAATAAATTTTCTATTTCATCTCGATATGTTTCAAGTAAAGATAATTGTCCTTGAAATGAAAGATTTTCTCTTAATAAATGATGTTTTTGTAAAATATTATCATGTGATAAAAAATTTCCATATAAATTTTCAAGATAATCTTGTCGTTTTGAATTTTGTTGATCTTTTTCAATAATTGATATTAAATTTTCTCGTAATCTTAATTCTCTTAATGTTAATTGTTCTTTTTTATCAAAAAGTTTTTCTGGCCATAGAACAATACCTAATTTAAATAATGTTGGTAATAATTGTTCGAATTCTTCAGGAATTTGTTCACGAATATCATTGAATTTTTTTTTATCAAATTCAGATAATGATATATTAAATTCAAGTAATGATAAATTTAATACATGATATTTAATTGTTAATGAACTCATTATACTTGAAGAATTATCCATTGATGTATTATGATGATAAATAGATGATGTAGCTGGTAAAAATGATGAAATACGTGAGCTTGCTATTGATGGTGATGTAACAGTTGAAATTGATAAAGTATTGTTACTATTTGAACGATAAAATTTAGGTTTAGACATTGATACTGAATGAGTACCATCATTATTTAATAATTCATTTTGATTGTTGTTTTCTAAAAAAAATAAAAATTTTGCATAAGGAACTTTAATAAACATTTCTTGTATTAGACTTATTTGAAATTGAGTCAAAGTGAAAAGTAAATACACTGTTAGGGCAACGATGAATCGTCAAAATATACAAAAAAAACTTGGATAGCATTGAGTAAAACTAACGACCTTTTTGTAAAACTATGGAGCATACTATTCCTGTTGGAAGCATTTCTATATTTTATTAGAAAAACATGAATTGCTTCTACCTCTAGGTCGCTATGGGATTAAATTGTGAAACCCGATGTTGCTAATCATAGAGAGATTGTTTTATTCTATCTATTCTGGGACATATTTCTTCACTCAAAAATTCTAATTTTTGTTCATGATAACGGTTTTCAAGCTTCATACATGAATGAATAGTTCAATATTTCTACTTTCGAATGTACTATCGTTTATTGCTTGTAAGCTGTTTTTCCAGTCAAACTCTTAGTCTGAAATGGGTTTTTTTTGGATACCTAAGTCATCAAAGATATATTTGTAACATGGGGAATATGATTAGTATACATAGGTTAATATACGCTGCTAACTGTTGCACATCTACCTAGTATTCTACAACTCAACAGAGTTGGATTACTCATTTTCGATAAGAATATCTTTAATATTTCGAATTTTTTAGAGAAACTTTTATCAGAAGTAAAGAAGAAAAATTTTAAATAATTGGATATTGTTTTGTTGTAGCAACAAGCCTTAATTGCATTTTGACATGAATCTGAAAACTTTATCATTAAATTTTTAAAATCTATTTTTTGATAATTAAAAATTTTTGAGCAGCTTAATATATTTTACTTTGACCTACACATATTATCTGAAAGTTTTAGTCAGATCTTTTGCACTAATACAAAAACAAAAAGTTTTCTGAGTAGTGGGACTTAATAAAAAATCTTCTTGAAATATAATTTTATTTTCTATCTTGACTTTTGCTATGATTATTCGAAGGTTTATTGGAAAGAATTTATTATTAAGTTTAAAATTATAGTAGAATTACTCATTGTTATTAATTCATTTTGAGATAAAGAAAAAAAAACATAGACACTGATATTTCATTAAATAAAACAAGGTTATCTCTCACTTTCATTCGTTTATTCAACTAGTTTCATCAAGTTCAAATGTCAGACATTGTCTACTCATGTCGTTAGTTGACAAAAGTTATCTTTCATTTAAAGGTCAATATTTAATTTCAGTTAAACAAACGTTGACTCAGCTTTTTTAAAGTATTAGATATGTTCTTAGCCGAAAAAACAACAATAATATATTCTAAAGATCAAAGTATATCTTATCAGTACTCTTATTCATGTAAAGTTTTCTTAAAAGAACATTAATAATAACCTGATTGAATTTCATAAACAGGAGTTAAATTTGATTGATGAACATGTTGATCATTATTCAATAATGAATCTGTTTTATCATTAGTTAATCGTGAAGTTGTTTCACCATTATTATTAACATTATTTGAAAATTTTACACGTTTATTTGATTCAGAATGAACTAAAAGCGAATTTTTTATAACATTATTTGAATTTGGTGAAAGAAGATTTTCTTGTTTTAAAGATTTAAACAATGGAGATCTATTATCATGTATTGTTTGTTTATTTGATTCTTGTTTTATTTTGGGTAATACAATTGTTTTTGGACGTTCAGTAGATACAAATCTAAATAATTAATAAAATAAATATTAACTATTTGTATTATAAAAAAAAAAATTTCTTTACCCGGTTGTATTTCCTTTCATTTTTGTTTCAAAGTTAATAAATTGTAAGCGACACTAAAAACAAAACTTGTGTCTCGCTTTTTTTTGTTGTTGTTGTTGTTTTTTTTTTTACAATAAGATAAATGTTATCAGCATAGAAAAAAAAAACTATGTAAATATTTATAGGATTCATCGCCCACAGCTGCAGGTACCCGAGGTCAAAGAAGAAATGAATTTAATGGTTTAACATTAAGTCCACCAATAAATCGTGGAAATCATATAAATAATAATCATGTTATGAACAATATAATTGAAACAAAAAAATTTCAACATACTATTCAATTACTTAAAATTGAATTAAATGAACGTGATCTTTTACTACAAAATCAAAAAATACATTATCAAGAAAAATGTGAAGATTTACAAGAAAAATTAGCTGATATGACATATCAAAAACAATTATTGCAAACAAAACTTGATTCACAACGTCAAGTAAAAATTAAAAAAAAATATAATTTTAAAGAACGAGGGACACATAAGATCACAAATCCTGTACGAATTTATATATGAACCATTAAAAGATCACATCTCTTTGAGAAATTTTTTCGATGATTCTACAGCCATATTGTGCGTTAGTATGAGTAGTGAAGTGATTGTTGTCACCAGCAATGCAGTTGATCTTACTCTTTTATTTTCAATTTAAAACACTTTAATAATCCTTTTGAAGCTCTACAAAATGAGACTATTATTAATCATCAAAATAACATATTTGAAATTAGAACAAAACATTGAATCGATCTATATATTTTTCAAGCTATTTTTGACAATTTTTATTTACAACGAAAAATTCGGCTCTAGTCCCCCATAGGAATCTGCCAGTCATAAAATCAATTAAAATGTGAAATCGACCAGGAGACACGAGCTGTAAACTTTCAAAACTTAGATAAAATTCAAAAAAAAAAGAGATCATGAAATGATTAAAACGATATTTTAATAGAATTCATTTTTTGAAAGATTTCTGTAGAAGACCACAGCCGAAGCTTCTAACGAAAATAAAAATTGTCAAAATAGTTTGAAAAATACAGTATTTCCTGAAAGTCCCTTTCTAAAAAGTTTTTTCGTTTCATTTCACTAGTGACTGAACTTCATTGACTAATTTTTTTGTTTTTTGGATAATAGATAAATGTACAAAGTTGAGACATTTAATCAAAATACAAAAATTTAGTCTGTTTTCTTTTTCTAGAAAAGCATTATATAACATTTCTTTTTTAATAACTTCGAGTTGTTGAGACATTATTTTGATTCCAAATATGTCATTTTTGCAAGTAACAGTCAAATCACTTTAATCAAAAAGTGCCGGTTTTTGGTATCCCCAAACATTGTGTACATATATTCAATGTCTTGCCCTTATATTTATTTCCACACGATAGCATTATTTTGTAGAGCTTCAAAAGGACTATTGATTAGTATATAAACGAAAATATTTTAAATTGGAAACAAAAGAAAAAGATCAACTACGTTCTTGGTGACAACAACCACTTCACTACTCGTACTGACGCACAATATGGCTGAAGGACCATCGAAAAAACATTCTCAAAGAAATGTAATGTTGTGATTGTTCATATATAGATTTATGTGCTCGTTCTAACGATGTAGATACCATCTCAAATAACATAAATTAGTACAGTCTAATAGATTCATTTCAGTCAATGAGTGAGTAAAACTCATTTTGCTGGGAGTTTTATGAGTGTCATACAGTGACACTGTAACGACCTATATCATTTTCATTTCACTTGAAAATGTCACTAAATGACTCGGCCTAAGTTTTTACTGGTGAATAAGTAGTTTTAATGTGAAAATTCTTAGTAGGCTTATTTGTGGTCTTATGCATTCTTGTTCTTTTGTTTTAAAAATATGTTCATTTCTTCGGTTTTTAGGTTGATCATGAATTAACATTACGTTCACAAGATGAAGTTCGTCAACAATTAGCACAAATTATGGAACGACAACATCAATTAGAAGATGTTAATAAACGTTTAATAGCAAAATCTAATGAAATTCGATATAATTTACATAATAAAATTTTACCTACTGATGAAGAATATAGAATTTTAAAATCAACAAATATTAATTCTGATCAAATATCACTTAACGATTTTATTATGGTTTGTTTCTTTTATTTTATAAAAAAATAAAACTTTTTAAAAAAATTAATATTTGTTTTTTTTTGTTTTGTTTTATAGATAAAATTCTATGAAACAGTACGACCATTAGAAACTGAAATTGATAATTTACGAAGAACACAAAATATATTAGAGAGTAAATTAGCAGCAAATGGACAAGATCTTATTCAAACACAAAAAGTAAATTAATTAGATATTATTGTAAAATTAATCCTACAAATTTTCAAGAAATTTGATACTCTTTAAATTTTAGTTCTGATTTTATTAAATAGAGAATTTAATTTTCTAGAAAACTATTCGTTGAAAGATATTTTTCATAGGTAGAATGAACTTTATGAGATAAATATCTATTGCAACGTCAAACTGCGAATTCTCTACATATTTTTGAAAAATTGACAACCGTTTTACTTTGAATGGATCTCTTGAATAAATGCTTGGATAAAAACTACAACTTAGTTCAATATCAAAAAAAGAATGTTGTCTCATCATAAAAGAATAACTTTTCAAGTCTTTAAAAAAGTTCCTCACTGTTCTTGAACAAAATTAAATACAATATTTCTAAGTCCATATTTGAGTGTGACATCTTATCTAAAAACTTTCCAGTCATCCATTATGAGAAAATTCTTATGATCTCATGCGAAGAAAATGCAAGTCATAATAAAGATTAATGGTAAAAGTGAAGTAGAAGATAGAGAATTTCTCACTCGTTATGTTCATAATCTTATCAGAACTCTGACTGCTTTTATTCAAGAGAATAGAAGTTTCTAACAAACATCTTATTACTTTGCTTGGGTATAAAATAATGGTTCGGACCAGTACGAACAAAGTTTTTTTTTTTCACTGTTTTGACTTTCGCATCTGTACGATTGAGTAGGCACTAATCTCGTTAGTTTCATTTTAACCCAAAAAATCCATTCAAACGACAAAATTAGATAGTTTTTATAAAGAATTAAATTTTTCTATCCAATGAGATCAAAATTAAAAAATTAAAAATAATTGCTAAACACCCTAAAGATAGTAAATAAAAATGGAATCATTTATTATAGAGACCATCCGTAATTTCATAAATATAGCTTTTATTTTCAAAATGATCAAACAATATCCTTTGTTTCTATTGTTTGATCCAATTGCATATTACCGATAGTGTCTCACGCATACATACAAGTGATCAATAATTTCATTTTAAAAAAAACTGTTCTGCCACTATCTATATGTATCATATCGTTGTTTTCAAAGTTTTGACAAATTTGAATTTTTTTTTTTTATTAAAAGACCGTAGATGAAGAACGTCGTTCAAATCATGCTGTTCAAATGCAATTACAAAAAATAACATCAGAATTAAATGAATATAAAAATTTATGTGAACAATTCGATTTCAAAAAACAAAATTATGATCGAATTAAATCGTAATTTTTAGGCTTTTAATATTATTTGAATTCTTTTTTTTTTGTTTAAATTTTTTTCTAGAGAACGTGATCAATATGAACATCGTATTGTTGAACTTGATCGACAAATAACACAAGATGAATTACAAATACAAACACATACAAAAGAAAAAGAAAATTTACTTCTTCAAGTATATCTTTTATATTTTATATTTAATTTAATCTTAAATTTCTAATATAGTTAGCTGAATTACGTCAAGAAATTATTGTACTTCGACAAGATAAAGAATATTTAACACGACAAAATAATGATATACAACAAAAATATTATTCAGCTGAAGAAAAAATATCAATACTTGAAGCATCACTTGATGAAACTAAACGAGCCAAAGAAGTTCTTTATGAAAAACATATTTCAACTAGGTATATGTATAGAGATTACTAAAGATATCGATATTTGCTAATAAAACCTAATAGAACGACGCTATGACAAAAAATATCATATAATTTCTATCTATTTTGGAATAGTTTTCTTCGTCATAATTTACTTAATTCTATAGAATTGCATTAAAGAAGTAGTTCATATATTAGAACGAGATGCTATTGATATACGATCTGTAATGAGGGCGAGATATTGCAAAGAATACTATCACGTCTATGGGAAGGGAGGTCCTGATTTTTACCCTATACTTCAATACTCGTTTTAGATTATGTTTCATAAAAGCTATAGCTCAAAGGCATCCAGAGGACTTCGTGAGATTTCAAAACTGAGATCTCTACTGTTTTCTCCTCGAATATGTTTTTCGTGACTAGAACATCCTATATATTTGTTAGGCACTCTTGATGATGATCTTATAAGCATTAAATTATAATTGGGTCTTATTTTCAGAGTAACATCCATCGGATTGGTTTCGGACGCTACCGATTTGACGAGCTCTACGTCAGAGGGTGTGTTCAATGATATATCATCAGAGAAAGAAGAAGAACTTTCTTTAGTATTTTCAAATATATTTTCAATAAGTTGTTTTATCATGAAAACTTCACTTCGATCTACCGGTAGATTCTGTCCTAGTTCAACATGAACTCAAATTCATTGTATACTCTTGAACATTACAATTCAAATAATAAATTTATTAAGGAGAAATCTTCAAACAAAAGTCTTAAAATATCATTATGGATAATATTTCGTTTTGATTTGTTTCAATCGAAGATAATTGTCGATAAACATGATCAAAAACTCTTAATCTTCATCTATGAATAATCTTGATTCTTTTTTAATATAATTATATAATCTATGATTAATTTCTTTTTTAATATATTTATAGAGATGCCTACAAAACTGAATATGAAAATAAATTAGCTGTTGAATTAGAACAACTTCGTTCAAGAACTGCACTTGAAATTGATAAATTACGTGAAAGTATTAAGGAAATGTATGAAAGAGAAAATCGGTAAATAATTTTCTTTTGAAATTTCATTTCAATAATTCTTTTATTACAGAACATATCAACATACACGTGATGAAGCTATAGCTGAACGTGATCGACATATTCAACTTGAACGAGATTTACAACGAAAATATGATGAATTATTAAATGAGTATGATTTATTTGATTGATTATGTAAAGTTTTTTTTTTTTGAAATTCTATTTTATCTAGATATCGTCAATATAAAAGTACAATTGAAGTTCGTTTAGGTGAATTACAATCAGAATTAAAATTAAAAACATTTGAATTTGATCGTCTTCAATTATTATATGAAGAAAATTTAAAATCATTAAAAACAACACAAATTGAAATTGAAAAATTACAAAAGAAAAATGATGTTTGTTTTTACTTTTTTCGAAATATTTTCTTCGACTCTTTTTATTTTCATATTAGTTAATTCAAAAAGAATATTTTAATTTACAAGTTCAATCTGATCGTCGTATAATGGAAGTTGATACTGAATTAAATGAAAAAAGAACAAAATTACAAGTTTATGAAAAAGTTGAACAAGAATTAGATGAAGTTGTTATGCAAGCTGCACAAGGTAACAAAAATACTCTTACACTTAACTTTACTAATTTTTAACTTTTAAAGCAATTAATTCAAATCTAGACAATAATTTTAATAGACAATGAAGCTTTCTACCTAATACATGCCATAGCAGGATTTCATAGATGACAAGGTTTCTAAAAAATCGAACACGCTAGTTTTCAGCTTCCAGAAGACATTGTCGGAGCTATTTTAAAGAGCACAAAATTCTGAATAAAATGAAGGGTGGGATCGCCCTTTTTTTCCGATTTGTGATGCCACTATCTGGATTTGATCTAATTAGTTAAATAACAAAAATATGTTGTTGGTAAATTTTTGTCTATCATCTTTTTTCCTATGAATTGCCAATCTCTTTATTTAAATGGTTGTAGGCACATACAGTTTATCTTAAATAAAAATTCAGAGAACTAAAGATCGTTCGGGTCCTGTTGAAGAGTTCTATTTACCAACAGCAAAATGCTTGTGAATCGTATTTTTGATATAAACTATAGAGTTAATGGTTAGCATAAATTTGCATAGGCATATATGAATAGTGCAAGAATAGATGTTTATCATGCAACGAAAAACTTTATATGAAAATACAAAATGTTAATAAACCATCAGAATTTAATCAATACATTCATGCATAACATCTGTTAACAGGTCATTCGAATTTTGTAATTCACATTGTTTAACCTCTTCATCTCAACGCAATTTAATATTATATGCCTCAGATGATATATCACTATTTTGTATCTTCGTATGAAATTTTTCTTTATATTAGAAGCTTTTAGTTTTGTACTATTCATACATATCTACGTAAATTTTCTCTAACCATAAACTCTATAGTCTATCTAAAAAAATACGATTCGAAAGTCTTTTTGTCGTTGATATACTTTAAGTCACTAATCGCTTAGACTCGATCGAAGATATCAGTCTAGATCTGAGTTTAAAAACTTCGAACATTTGAATCTGACTTGTGAAAAAAAATATTATTTATTTTTGTTTAAATAGTTGAAAATGATGCTGATGCTGATAAAATCTTATTTTCTTATGGTTATGGTGCATCATTACCAACAACAGCAAAACGACGTCTTCAACATTCAGTTCATTTAGCTAAACGTGTTATTCAACTTGAACAAGCAAATACATCATTACGTTTAGAATTAGATCGTGAAAGAAAGAAAAAAACTGATATTCAACAAGAGGTTTCCTTTTTTTTTTGATTAGTTTTCTTGTTTATTTATTTTAATAAAATATTTTAGCTTGGAAATGCAAATAAAATATTAGATCAAGCTCAACAACCATATGATTTTCTTATTGCAACTGTACGTAATAAAGATGCACAATTAAAAAAAGTACACGATACTATTGAACAACTTGAAAAACAACTTAGGTTTGGTTCTTTTTTTATTAATAATAAAAATTGAATTGTTTGATTTTTTAAATAGAGAATGTGAAAATGAACGACAATCATTAATTAAAACAAATAATCAATTAACAAAAGATATTGAAAAATTACTTGAATATCAAGAGGTAATTTTCTTTGAAGAATATTCAATGAAAAACAAAAAAGAAAAAGTTTTATTATTTAGCCATTAAAAGTAATGAAAACTGTTATTATGAATTTACAACATCAAGATCCACAAAAACCAACTCATCGTTCACCATCTCCACCATTGACTAAAAAATATCGTTCACTTACACCACCAACTCATCAATCAAGACGATCAGTTGGTTTTGTTGAACAACTCGATCAACATCATAATCCACCACCAACAGTTTTTGTAAATTGAAAACTTAATTTTTTTTTCTTTATTTTTCGTATAAAATTCATTTTGTCTCTACTGTTGTTTTTAGACATCGACAAGTAATGCAAAAAGTCCTTCAACAAGAGTTATTCGAGGACCACCAGCATCTCAACAAGGAAAATATCGAAAAATATATAAAGTGACGAATAATTAATAAATGGTTTTTTTTGTAATTTTTTAGTAGAAAAGTGATTTGTTTTATGTTTTCTATTAGTTGTTCACTGTATTTCATATTTGTAATTATTCAAAGATCTTATTAATTGATATTAGACTATTTGTCGAATAGATATGTTTGTTGTGTCGACATCCATTTAAATATGTTCTCATCTGTCATCATGTTTCCGATGTTGTATTTGGTTCACTGTTCCAGAGATGTCATAATATCCAAAGGCTGGGTATCGGGGAGATACTAGTCACGATATCCGTCAGAATGGATACCCAAAATGGATATCCTATCTTGTAAAGTTGAGGATTTTGAGTGAATTTGGTGTAACGAGATGGATACCCAAAATGGATACCCTATCCTCTAAATTTGAGGATTTTGAGTGAATTTGGTGTAGGTGTGGGTGTAGGTAGGGTGTGGGCAGGGGGTCCCATTAGTGTTAGCATTAGCATTAATTAATGCTAATACTAATGCTTTGGCATTGATGGCATTACTGTTAATTAATGCAAGGTATTAGCATTAAATTAGCATTAATTCCTAATGCTGATGTCTCCTAGTTGTGCCTATCAGTCTGAAATTACATGAGACGCTACTAGCATCACCCGAGAAGCCTCTAGCATACCTTGGATGGTAATAGTCTCACCTTGGTAGCCTCTGGCATTCCCAATATGCTACTAGCATCCACTGGGGGTCTACTAGCATCACCAAGGATGTGTCTGGCATGCCTGGGATGCTACTAGCATCACCAGGAGTGCCTCTGGCATTCCAGAGATGCTAATAGCCTCATCTTGGTAGCATCTAGCATCCCTGACATTCTACTAGCAGTCCTGGGATGTCACCAGCACCACCTGCGAAGTCTCTAGCATTCCTGAGATACTGATAGCAGTTCTGGGATACTATTAGCATCATTTGGCATCCTACTAGCATCACCTGGGATACCTGTAGCAGCAACAGGGATGCGTTTGGATTCCTGGGACGCCACAAGCATCATCTCCGATGCTTCCAGCGTTCCTGGGATACTATTAAACTCATCCCTAATTCTATTAGCACTATCTGGGAAGCCTCCAGCATTCGTAGAATGATACTAGCAGTCCTCAGATGCACCTAGCAGTCCTGGGATGCTACTAGCGGTCCTCGGAAGCTACTAGCAGCCCCAGGATGCTTCTAGCATTCTTGGCAATTTTAGTGCCATTTAAAGCAATGCTAGAAGCATTCCAGGTGACGCTACTAGCAAAATAGGATTGCCAGTAGCATCTCATGTAATTTTAGCCTGATAGGCACAACTAGGAGGCATTAGCATTAACATTAATGCTGATTTCATCCTAACACTTTGCATTAATTAACACTAGTGCCATTAATGCGAAAGCGTTAGTGTTAATGATAAATCCTAATGCCGATGTATTAGGATTAGTATTACATTAATGCTAATGCTAACATTGATACGACACCCCTGCCTACACCCACACCCCACACACATATCCACCCATTTTGGGTATCCATCTCGTTACATCAAATCCACTCAAAATCCTCACTCTTTAAGGATATGGCGATGTTTGAGAATCTCGATACCCGAGTTTCGGATATTATGACATCCCTCCTCATTTGAAGAAAAAAGCTAACCAGAACACGATCACGAAACTTACTTTTGTCATATGTTAATTTTTAACAAACACTGTTTTCTCTATCAACTCGAAATCTATTTATCTAAAGCATTATATCATTATTATCTGAAAAGAAAGTGTTAAAGTAAATTTATTAATATTTAATTTAAAAAAAAAACTATTTCTTGTCATCTATAAACTTTTTTTTGATGTTTTTTCTTTTTATGTTATTCAAGAATCCATCGATTAAACATGCTATTTAAACAAATTCGATTCGAAAAATATTTTTATTGTTTTAATTATTTATTTTGTTTTCGTTTGATACAATATCCTGATATGCTGGAGGCATCATGAATGTATTTGATGGATAATTAAGTGATGTACTTGATGGATAAATTCTTCTTTGATTATTTGGTATTCCTGTCAATGGTTGAATCATTCGATTTTGTTTGCGTGGACGTAATAGAATATAAGTCCAAAATAAAACCAATATAAACGAAATGAATATCACTTTTTATTTAAATGAATGATATACGATTAACTAGTAAAAACAAAACAAAACTCACTCTTCATAACACTAACTAAAAAAGCACGAAATAAATATTATCTTCAACAATATAAAAATAAGTACAATTTACTTGTTATAACTACATAATGCAAATCATGCATAAAGTTCATACACGGTTGATGACTAATTAAACAAAAGAAGAAGATACGAAATGTTGATGATTTGTTTTAGTTAATACTCACTGATAAATTTTTTTAGAATTTATTGACATATATGTAAAAGTCTTCAAGCAATTTGTAGGAAAATTTACATAAAAATAACGCATTTCTCTAAGCGATAAATTTTTATTTTTATCAATACCACAACATTTTCTATCTTTAATAGCACCATAAGACATAATTAAACTCCAATCATCTGGTATTGCTCCATTTGGATATTTTTCTATTAATTCATAAAATCTTTGACGACTATTATCAATAAAATTCCATGACGAAATAATTTCAATTATAAATAAGATTACAATAATGACTAAAATTAAGAGAAAAAAAAACTTACGAATGAAATCTTTACAAGATTAATGAAAACATTGTTTATTAAACATAACAAACCGATATCAATAATAAGAAACATTGTAAGTGTTTTGACATTTTTTGTTATACATAATATAATAATAAGATTTATCTGAACAGAACATAGAATAATTGCTGTTAATGTTCTACCTAATGTAAATCCATGTAAAAATCCTTCGATAATATATAATCCTGGTGTACCAAGAACTGATAATGAAAGTAAAATACTCAAAGAAACAAGTAATACATCAGACATTGCCAAAAGAATAACTAAATATTAACGTAAATGAATATAATGATATTAAAATATTAGCGCTTTATTCTAATCAAATTATTTAATTGAATTTCAAAAAAGAAATCAACTCAACAGTAAATATTACGAAACAAATTATTTTAACTGTTCCCAAAGATCTTAAAGCAAGGATATTTACTTCATAAGATAAACATATAGAAATGTGAATCTTCTGTAAAATGAATAAACTTAGTTTTCTTAATGACATGATCGCATTAGGAATCAAAATTTAAAAACAAAAAGTTTTCCAAGTACAGTATTTGTTATCTTTCATAACGATAAATTCATAGATTCTAATAAAATATTATTCAATTATTTTTTGATTTTATTTCGAATGAAATTAGAGGTTACAATTGAAAAACTTCTTATTTTTAATAAAGCTCTTACCACAATCACTACGGGATTAAAATGTGAAATACAATCGAGCTGCTTACATTGTACATCAATAGATTCAACAACAAATATTTCGACTTGTGAATTATTATTAATTAATAATCCATGTTGATGATGATAGATGTTAATTGTATTATGTTACAATGAATATAGAAAAGAACAGAACGATTATCTTAAATTCAATCGAGCTTTAGACTAATCCAGTAGCTTTCGCGGGTACATGTATTGCGGCTTGTGACGAGAAAGAGGCAATACCGAAGTATTTGTCACGGTCTGAGGAGGAAGTCCAATTTTTATAGTTGCAATAATGAAAGTACAAAAGTATACGGAAGAATTTTTCGCCCAAGCTATTTTTTGGACCTTTCAAAAGACCATCTTATTAGTCAAAAAAAAACTTTGAGAGAAAATTTCTAAGCTCAGATTCAGAAAGAACATATTATTAATGCCACAACATTGTTCATGTTTAATAGGTATGTAATATAATTAATAATTGAGCTGTATCTGGTTGATCATCCTGAGGATATTTTTCCATTAATTGATGAAATATTTGACAACCATTTTCAACAAAATTAGATAACATAAAGATTTCCAAGAACATATTTCATTTATATTACTTAAATCTGTATTAATTTTAACAAAGATAATCAAGTATTTTAATATGTTTTGTTAAACATAAAACAATAGTTAGAATTATTTGAGTAAGATATAGAATGATTGTTATTAAAGTTTTGCCTATTGAAAAATTCTTGAAATAAACCTTCAACGATAAATAATCCAGACATGCCAAAAACTAATAATAAAAGTATAACAGTTAAAAAAATTCGTAATAGATCATGATTAACCTCACTTATACTCATCTAATACTTGACTAAATCTATTTTTATTCATAACAAATCTATAATATCTAGAATGAAATAAGAGAGTCTAGAAACAGAAATTTATCTATGTCTATCTATCTGTAACATGATTAAAAGTAAGCATCAAGTCATTATGATTCGAAATGACCATCTAATGTGACTTAACTGATTAACATTGATTAAATTATTCAATGCGATTTGATCGATAACGCTATTTAGGTTTAAAAAAATAAATTAAAAAAAATGAAATTTTATACAAGACAAACATATTGAATTCGTATACACTCTTACAAATGAATCACAAGAGTTACATACGACTATAGTCATATGTCTTTCCATTAGTCTCGAACCAAAGAAATTAATATGTGATGAACGTTACTCTGTTTGCTTTTTATAAATGAATGAATTTAGTCATTAATTAATATGTCGTACACAAGACACCCAACTTCAATATTATGCTATAATATTTTCATAAAACATAAGGGTGTTGCTGACTAGCTACTATCTTGTGTGTTAAGAGTATTTTATTTATATCAGACTGTGTGACTTAAAATTTCTTAAATCTAATTCGATTGAATAATGATCGTAGCTCATTCAGAAGAAGCTCATTGGTAGCAAATTTTTAATAGATCAAGTTTAATAATTCGAGAAACAAATTATTTGGTAGCTTAAACTATTTTAATGACATTCTACTTTCGATACTTTCCTACTTCAATTACATTTTGAAACTGCTTAGTATACTTGATTCATTATTTTGTATTGTGCCTAAACGAAGGATACTCTTAAATTGAAAGTATTTTGACTTATTTTTTTGATTCAGTTAACATTTACAAAATACATTCATTGTAAAGATTTTTGATTGCTATTACTTCAAGGGCACTGGCAAAATGCTGGTATCATTGAAAATGAAAACATTAGTGACAATAAAATCATTTTATTTCTTATTATGATTTGCTTGAAATGATTTACATCTATAGATTGAAGAGCAATAGAATTCAAAACAAAAAAATATTAAGTTCATCTCGTTTTGTTTTTTATTTCAACGAAATTAATGATTACATTTGAAAATTTTCTTTAAGGACATGCACTTCGATCAATATCAAATTTATCAATACGACCAGTACCATGATTCGAAACAAACACATTTCCATGTTGATCAAATGCTAAATCAGTTGCTTGACTAAGAGTATATTGCTGTGCGCCAATGATAACTGTACTATTGACATCTTTTGGTGTCCAACGGACAACTCTGCTATGATATCCATCGATTGAATATATATTACCTGATTGATCAAGATGAACTGTTCTAGGCACTCGTAGTGATCCTATAATAATTCCTTGTTTTGCACCTTCTGTCCATTTCATAATTCGATCATTAGAATAATCTGCTACATAAACAGTTCGATTTCCATCCACAAAAACAGCTGATGGTTCATATAATTGATCAAGTCGATTACCTTTACCATTTCCACCAGCTACAACTTGATCATTTGTTATATTTTCTCCTAATATCCATCGACTAATTCGATGATTATCATGTTCAGCAACATAAAGTAAACCTTGATCATCTAATGCTAAACCAGTACAATAGAGTTTATCAATAAGTATTTTTCCTTCTTGAGCACGTAGTGACCATCGAATAATTCGTCGATTTTGTGCATCACATATAATTAAACTTCCATCTTTCGGATCCATTAACATATCTGATATCTAATTAAATTTTAATCTATTTTTGATTAACCGAACAAAATATCTTTAGTTTTTTTTTTAATCACTTACCCAACCAAGTTGATCAGTTCTATTTCCTTGTCCATTATCTCCAGCTACAATACTACCACGTTTACCATCTAATTGCCATGTTACAATACGTGCATTTCCATTATCAGAAATATAGAGTGTATTCGTTTTCAAATCAAATAAAATCGCAGTTGGACCTCGAAGTTGATCTAATGCAGTACCACTGAAATTACTTCCAGCAACAGTTATACCTCGTTTAGCCCAGCTTACATTAAAACAAATCTCTTCAACAGGTATTATTGGTAGTGGAAATACAGCTATTCCGTTCAAAGTAATAAAAAGAAAGACATTATTTAAAGAATAAAAATCTTTTTCTTATACTTGAAATTGGATCTAATAGCGGACAAAGATCTAATGTAGCCATACCAGTTGGATAACACAATGGTCGATCTATCGATATATTTGGATGATGAACACAAACAGTATATGGTTGATCGCAATAATAATTTGTTTCACTACACATTCTTAATTTTGAAGCATTTAAATGAAGATATGCACAAATTCCACTTTGATCATTTGATGATGAGAATGGAAGACAACCACAATTAGGATTCGTTGAACAAGGTGTATAGACTGGTAAATTTCGACATGTTTGACCTTTTGTCAATGCTAAATAAGACACAAATGAATAATCAAAATATAACTAGATTCAACAATCATACCGAACAAACTAAACAAAAACAAAAAATAATGATTGCTTGTTGAAAAATCATTTTATGAAAATATTTACCTTTGTAATACAATGAACAGAATAGTCAAGGTTAAGGACATTCTAGTAATCGTTTTCTTTCGTAAAATAAAAACATAGAGTATGCATCGAATTTATTTATCCTTCTTTTTTTTTTTTTGTTACTTGATACTGATCGTAATTAGAAAAATACGAACAAAAAAAAGCCAGTCGTATTGATAAAGACAGGCTTTGCAATGATGACACAAGCTAGAAAAAAAAGCATAGCAAAATAAATTGATTTTTTTCATATCATCATCATCTTAGTGTAAATATTTCTTTTTTGCTACCAATAAAAATTAATTCTTTCGAATAAAATACATCAATTGGTTCGTTTGCTCTTAGACATAATTAAATATAGTTATTTCTCTTCTTCATCATCATCAACGGTATCTTCTAGAATAAAATACTGCATTTACAATACAATTAATATTATCATTTAATAAATATGTACCATATGCCGAAAAAACGAGAAGATGTCGGCACGACTCCCACCAGATAATCACCTGGCGTTAGTGCTGTAATATTTTTTAAGAAATAGTGTTTCATCTTTGAACACTCGTGTAATATTAATCTATTTAGTAAATAAATTTGCATAAATTTAAGTTTAAGACGAATTTAAATATTATACTCATCACAATGAAATTCATTAAGTTTTAAGTTGCGTAAATTTACTATTAGGATTATTTTTTTTCAACATTGGTTACGATTTAGTTTACAAATTTGGCAAACGAGGATCAAAATGAAGTAATAAAATGATCGATATCTCGTAGAGAACAGTTATGTCAATGATTCAATTCCTTCTCATAAATTTTAGCGTTTGATGTGTGTAAGTTAACATATGGGTGTGGACAAGGATGAGAAAATAACGATGATAGTTTGGTGGTAAGTATGTGGATATTAAAGTGTGAGGTCAATATCTAAAAAGTGAATTTCTTTGGTATCGTCGTTCTGACAACCACACACCAAAGCTCACCAACGGTCAACCCTCGTATACAGATTGACCAACGAAGTTAAGTGTGTGAAAATAAATTGGCCGAAAAGATATCTTTCGACAGTTGTGTATTGTAAAGAAATCTGTTTCATGTTGGATTCTGAAGAATGAAATGGTAATAGAATTAGTTGAAAGATACAAGATTATAAATAATCAAAAGGAGCATATTGTAAAAAAATTTAGCTCTATATGTTTTAATGCTACTGAAATACATGAAAAATACTTAGAGATCCGTTCTTTTTTATCGATCCATCGATAGTTCTTGCTTCTATGTTTTCATCATGAAGATTAAGAAAACGCTGATCTGCTAAAACACTAAGTTAAACAATAATTGGCTTAATTAAGTTGAAGCGCTTTGGAGTGAGGTGTGGCTATGAGCTATGGAATTGCAGAGATATTTGAGGACAAACTGTGAATGCATTTTTTATTGAATACAGAACTACTCACAAGCTCTTCATTCTTTCTAAAAAAAAACTCACTTTTTTAAAGAGTCCTGCTCATGATTTTTCATCAATTATTATAAGATTAAAGCCTTTTTCTGATTGATAAAGAAATTGGTGTTGCCTTTTATTCAAAATGATTGAACAACCACTATTTATTCTCAGTTGTTTATGTCAACGGCACATATACATAATTGAATCATGCGACATGTCGATTGAATTTGAATCGCGCTACCAACTTCATATTATATAATCGTACCGGATGTGAATTGAGTTTTTTTAATAACAGCTCTACTCTCGGTGGAAGTTCAGTTATTCAACATGATTGTACTCAAAAATCAAATTCATTTAGATGTGCTTCATAAAGATATACTGACAAATATAGGTTATTCTGACATCTGAAAATTCACCAATCATTGAAATGACTTCATGTCGAAATTTTTTTTTGAAACTATTGTTCTTGGCGAGTATGCCATAACTGTTCCAATTAATTTAGTATTTAGAGCAGGATGATCCATTGAAAATTATGTATATGAGTTAGATCGTACTATAGACGAGATGAAACAGCAGGAACAACTATCGAATTTCAGTACTTATTTCAATATTACGCCCGAAAATGACGCCTACATCACCGAATGTTATTATTGTGCATCTGGCAATTGTAATACCAAAGTGAGGTCATGTCTCAAAGTCGTAGCTCTATGGGTAATGAGTAAATTCATATCGAAGATGATATAAGTGAACATTCATCATAGTTTTATTTGTAGGCAATGCTCATCAATTTTTATTCGATTGCTATTTCTTCTATATCTTATTTGTTATCTTCATCTATACGTTACCTACTTAACGACATATATTTCCTATGACTTATCTTTTCTGTAACGAAAATCAAATGACTCTTGATCTTGAGCAAATCTTAGAAACACTATTTTCATTCTCTCCAAAATCATGTTAACCGATCGAAAACTTTCGGTTAAACAAGATTCGTCGACTTCAGCATGTTCGATAGCACACTTCAAATTGTGCTTTCTTATAATTGTGAGCCTATTATGAGAATATTGAATAGAATTACCTTGTATAGAAAAATGATCGATTTATAATTAAGATCCTTTTTCCTGACGAATCATGTGGATTTTGAATGAAACATTCATAATGTATTCTTTTTTTTCTGAATCAATTTGTATTTCCATTTAAATAAATAGTAACATCTAATCACTTATATTACAAAGAACATCCAGCTTTCACACATAACTGTAGAAGTCATAGGTACACAATATCATCTAGTAAGTATTTTTTCCATGTTTTAGATAGTATCGCTAGGAGAAAAGTAAAAGACGAATTTTCTGCAGCTCTTTGATGTATCATTTTTCCAGGTATTAATCAGTGCTCCTCATGCTATAGAAATGAGTTAAGTTTCTCTCATAACAATAGAGACCACAGATATAGAGTCTCTGATAAGCTAGTTCTTTAGATGTTATTGAATATTAATTATGACAAAATAATCATCTGAATTCTTCGCACAACAATACAGATCATGGATACACGATGTTCACCATTAGATAATTTGTACATATTTTTGGTGATATTTGTGCTAAGAAAATTATTAGGATTCTTCAAAAAGAGTTTTTGATAGAACTTTCAAATTGTATCGTTGTGACATATATATATATATATACGGAAATAGCCATGAAATATGTTATATTATTTATAATCATTTTCTTTATTTTAAATCGAAGCTATTTATAAAGTTTTGTTTCAAATTCAATTTTCTATCGAATAAGATGTGAATTGATTATCGAAGCGTCTAAAGATGATTTCAAAAATTAATAAATTCTGATCTTACTGTTTTCCTTGTTAAAGATCCTAAAGGTACCTCTCTAATGGAACACTAAAACAGGGTAGCAGTTTCAATAATCATCATGCTGAAACTTACAGAAGTGACTTCTAACTTTGACTTCTGCAATTACTGAAAGTTTCATGGCGAGTAACCTTTGTTTTGTAAAAAAAAGAAAAGAAACTGAAAGGCACTCAATCGACTTTCGTTTTATATTACGTGGGAATGTAGCTTCTCAAAAGAAATACTTTTTTAAATCATATACAGCTACTTAATAATTTAAGCAGCTGCTTTATTTCTAACAAAATTTTGTATGGTACTTCTTCGTATAACTAGCTATTGACCATCTACCATTATTTAAAGATTTTTCATAGATAGTTAAATAACCTGTATAACTAATTCAAAATAAGTAAATAGTTACTCAATGATTAAATATTATCGTTGTTATTTTTAAGATTCGATAATCATTCAAGAAAAAGAAAGATATATATATTTTAAAATAATTTAAATTGTCACACTTAAAACTGTCAAAAGCATTGATTTTTTCCTTTTTTCGTCATAGCTGTATAAAATCGGACGAGTTGCATCAAAAAAAAGTAACTAGTATACAACTCGGCGTTCTCTATGCGACCATGATGTAACAACGAAATCTCTTAAAATTCGATTATTTCAATCGATGCATCCCGTTGGCACTCGATAATCTAAAATATTTAGTTTTATTATGCGAGTATTCATTGTACCGGAATATGATTAATCTACTTAACAAGTAGTGCATATCTTTTGACTGTGACTGATATTCAAAAACAATATGCTTATCGATAAAGGATGGCTATAGATTGAACTGTCACTCATTCAGCAAGTTTCTTTTTTTTCTTGCCCTTGCTCGAAACAAGTCAGTAAGAATAAGTGAGTAGCTGAATGTTTACGAGAGTTAAAAAAATATGAAATAATTAAATAGCTGTATCAATATTAAGTAGCTATGAATATTTATTAAGCAGCTATGAATATTTATTAAGCAGTACTCAAAATTTTTAAGTGGACGTTGAAATGAAATAGCTATACAATTAAGAATATAGAGAATCAATACATAATGCAATACATATTATAATAAATTATATCTATACGATGTACTCTTAAGCATGTCTTTTAATTCTCTCTATTGATTTTCCTCTATACAAAAATTGTGTCTCTCTTTTGAGAATGAGCCAATGGGAAAATGTATTTCAAGATTCCGAACTTTTAAACGCATGTTCAAATAGCACCAAATTAGTAATCTTTATGGAAGTAGTTTAAGCAAATTCTATCACACTAATCTGAAGAATTGATCAACACATAGACTTTATTGAATATGTTGGTTAGGTTGTTCATCTTAAAATGTATATCTGGTGACATTTTCGGAGCTCTAGCTCGTACTGATGAGGAAGTATCGTAAAAATATTTCGAATAAACAATTGACGAGAAATATGTCAAATTAATAAAAAGCTATTTTGGATGCTTGTAATCAGATCATGATATCTCAGCAAAAAACCGTCCATTAGATTTAAAATTTTGCTTATATCCGTAAAATCATTTGCCCTACAAAATGGAACAACTTTCATCCAAATCTAAAATTTTCAATTCAGCAACTCTATTAGAAGTTGATTGTGGTTCTCGTACACTGACTTCTAGAGAGAAAGAAAGTTGCATCACATTAAAAAAAAACACATTCTAGAATGAAAAGCTCGCAGCATTACCCTTATGAAGATGCTTCAATCGTGGAAACAAGGTTTTCGAAATGCGTGATTCACTTCTGAGGGCATATTGTAGAATTTAGCTTTCTGCTTGTAAGTGTATTTGCATGCATTCCTGATCGAATTTCACAAAATATACACTAAGATTAAAAACAGAAACCATCTATTGTTTTTTGAAATCAAAAATAAATGGAAAGAAGCTTACGAGGATCAAGTTCTTAGATTTTTAATTTTCTCAACATATGTATTTAAATACGCGAATTTAAATGGCATATTGTGAAAGCAAAGAAAAAGAAAAACAGGTAGGAGTGCATTTACTATTTACACATCTTGGACGATGCCTTTTTTTCAAGGAGCTATTCGATGAAGGTCATTATATTATTATCTGTTGTTGCTGTGGTCAGCGTTCATTCATGGACATTGGATTATGCTGGTGCTAAACAAATATCATCACCACATTTCAATCGTGGACGTCAAGGTCAAGCCATCACATGTAAGCATTCTTCTTTCTCGATTATTCGTATTTTTAACTCTTTTTAATCAAAATAAAACAGGTTTGGTTCTCCATGGGACAGCTGGCGGTGGTACAATTGAATGGTTTCAAAATCCAACAAGTAAAGTTTCTGCACATTATGTTGTTGGACAAGACGGATCGGTTACGCAAATGGTTAGCGAAGATGATACAGCTTGGCATAATGGTACGTTTCACTTTTATTTTTAAGTAGATAAAAAACATATTACCCAAGAAAATCTTTCGGTGATGGTGGCTAGCATGTCGAGAGAATCTTGATGCCTTTTCATTCACATCAAATTCTGCTTCTCGTCTGACATGAACCCAGTCGGAAATATTGATTCTAAGCAGAAATATTTTTTAAATTCTTTTTTTTGATAAATTGAATCATCAATTCAACTTTGAGAAGAAAAGTAATAAGTTCGAGCGTTCTCAAAATGGAACTTCAGCTTTGAATATATTAAGATTAGAATTTTTCAAGTCAATCATTTTAGGCGTTATAACACCAAACTCACAATTTAATGGTCGTCCCAACCCAAATCTATGGTGTATTGGTATTGAATTCAGTCGTAATGTTCAAAATAATAATATAATGCCTGAAGCACAAATTGTAGCAGGTGTTAAATTAGTTGCTGATATCAAACGTCGTTACAAAGGTATTAATATTTATACACATGATCAATTTAACGTTGGACGTACATGCCCGGGTCCAAATTTTCCACTTGCACGATTCAAAAATGCTTAAATACCATCATTGAATAAGTTATACATTCGATTTTATGTTGACATTGTACACAAAAAAGTTTATTTTATAAATAAATAAACGAAACCCGGTGTCAATCGGAAACCTTTAACATTGTAGAGTTTTTTTTTATATGTATTAGCTGAATAGTGAATCTTGATTCAATATACTTGCAAAAGATCCGATTAGCATTGAAGAGCAGAACAACGACTGGAAGAACAGAAACTATCGAAAAGATCTAAGATAACGCATTGTGTTCTGTTCTATGACAAACAGATTCTTAACTGCAATTAGTAAAAAGGGTGAGGCTGAAGAGAAGATCCATACTGTCACATCACAGCCACACCCTTCTTGATTTCATTGTCATGGTATCCTAGTTTACAAGTCCATTTAATCACCTCCTATGTTTTAATGCGAACTAATTTGAAGGCGTAGGTGAGCTGTGAGATATTTACGTCAATTTTTACTTAAAATTAGGACTCAATCGGCGTACACTTTTCGTATTGAATTACACTGACTCTAGCACTTCGATATATTCTATTTTTATTTATTTGCATTTACACTAAGATCAAGTTTCTGCCTCAAACGTCAGAACATGCAATGTAACCAAGAGAATCTCTATCTGTGAGAGTGAGAGAGTCATAAAATATCGATAGAAATTCACACTCACATTTTAATATATGCATTATATAACAACACAAGCAAGGCTAAAGTCATCCGTAATTTTGCAAAATGATTATACATGATAAAATCAGATCAATTTTTTTCTTCACTTTCTTTTGTCATTTGATACTCATTGTAATTGAAAGAAAAGCAATAATATTAGGCTTCGTTATGAAGATGTGTCTTGTAAAAGAATGAGAGTAAAAAATAGTTATATCATCATTTCAATGTTTTGTTTAAAAATATCAAAGTAATTGTCATCATCTTCAAGAATTGCATATTGTTTTTGAGAATATGTTTGATAAATATAATCAATATGATTATTTAATGAATATGTATTATGTATGAATATGTACCATCGTCTAATTGTATTTTTAGTGTATACAACGACAAAGAAAACTTTGCTTATTGTGATTACGCATTGAATATTGATGAAAATGTATGTTGATATGAAGATTTTGAATTAGTAGTCATTCGTATGTCCAAAAGAAATGAAAATGAAAAAGAAGATAGGAGTAAATTTTATAATTGAATTCGAATTCGAGAACATTCTTTTGCTCTAAGATTATTATACTAGCTGTTTGCAATCTAGTATTGTCTTCGCTTGCTTTTTTTTGTGTATTATGAGAATGTATCCATTTGTTCAAATGATAATAGATAAAATATTCATTAATTAGATTTGTCAAGAAATTCGATTTAAATTCAAGTCATTTTTGATGACAACAGAAATCATTCATGAAATTCTGTTTACTTCAGAAAATGTCTCGATAGTAAGAAAGTTAAGTTTATAAATCAAAGTATTGTATGGACTTTCATACTAAATTAGGGCACGTACTTTTCTCCCCTAACAATCGAAACTCGAATCGATTTCGGTGTCTTGTGTTCTCAAAATTGGATATCTGACCAATTACATGATATCTCATTATCATTCCTTGAAAAAGTTCAAGTCTCATTTCTTATTATACTGCAAGAGATAAAGCCAAATATTTTTACTTTGAAGCTGATCATTATAGAGAGTGACTCTTGTGACCTTTTTTTCAAAATGGGTCTTAATCGAAGAAAAAAATTGTTTTCATTATGAAAATTTGAGTGGTTTTTCATTAGAACTCCGAGATTTTCTCGAGTGATGTATGTCTCAAAAAGTTAACATAGAAGACAATAAAAAAAAAGATCACGAAAGTTACTATCAGTATCAAATGTCTTCAATTAAATAAAAATGAAAATTGACTCTGTCTCTTGAAGTAATCGAATGGCATTTGAGACGTCAAAGGTTCCAAAATGGCTGCTAAAGTTGCTATAACTTCGGCAGACAATGAGATATGAGACTAAAAATTTTTTTCTATATATAACGGGGCAGCCTAAACATGTACACAATGTTTCTGCTCAATATTATGTAATAGCTTGAAAATTCTATTTTGAAAAGAAGAGGGACAGGGCTGTAAATAAGTATCATTTACAACTGTGAATGTGATCTTGAATGTATTAATATGCCATACTGTCTAACTAAAGCAAAACTTCTGAAGAGTTATTATAACATTCAACAATTATCTGAATCGTTTAGTATAGCAGTTATGACATTGTCAAAGAAATTAATAAAAGTTTCAATGATATGAATGTGTTTCAACGAATTCATAGTAATAATGCCGTCAAATTAGATAGTTATTACTTTGAGTAAACAAAAGACTCAATCATCCATCGAATAGTATTAAATTTACTTAAATAAAACACTTCGAAAAGCTTAAAAAATGTCATAAAGAAACAATATATTATTCAATTGTGTTTCATTGCTGTTTACTCTTTGATGTTCTTGGATATTGGTACATTGTATAATTCGAATAGTAAAAAGATAATCATCAATCAATAAAATGATCGAAAAAGTACTATGATTTTGGTTCTAGATTATCAGATGTTTTGCTGTTGAATAACTAGTAGACAAATACACACGATCAAAAATGATAATCTATCTTCCTTACATCAAATAAAGATCAGCCTCCTTCGCTTTAAATGAAATTATAATTAAAACAAAAAAGTGATCTGTATTCCACGATGATTTATGATTCCCATAAGTTGGTAGAGATAGGTATGGTGTGGATGTAGATGAAAATTTACTTACAGTTAGTTAACACATTATGTCATGACTGTATCGAAACAATTTTCATGGTCATGTATGATTGTATGTAATAATACATTATTAGCACAACTAGCAAGCGCAAATGGATTTGGTATGACCTTATTACACTATGATTAGTATTCTTTAACAGAATTTTCGGATTCACTGGTAATTGTATCATGATGAGTCCCAGTTAATCTATTTATTGGTTTTGGTGTTTCATACGGTATAGTAGCTGATGATCAGTTTCGTCTCAATATGACTGCTCATAATGCATAGAACGATAAATATGGCCCCATCTGTCTTAGTACTTTGCATATTGTTTTTTGCTAGTAATATGGCTGCGATACCTTATGATATTTATTGTAAATTTATGGTACATTATTTGGAAATATTTGAATGATGTTTTATAGTGTTGTTTATTGATTGTCTTGATAGGGAAATTTTTTAACAAGTAATTTTACTTATATTTTACCTACGTAGGTACTATGTTTTGGTTGCTGTGAGTATTGATTGTATTACAGCTCTTCCATTTAGTATTTTCATAGCACAAAAAATTTAAAAGGAGTTGCTTTTAATACCATTTTGTCGCTGCTGCGGTGCCATGAAATTCTTTCAGATTATATGCATGTGCTGAGTGTGTTATTCAGCATTAACTGTTTTACTCTTTTTTAAAATTAATCAATTTATAAAATTGTCATCAAACACTGTTTTTACTATAGTTAATTTAGGTACGATACTCTCATCAATTTTACCATACCGTAACATCAAAATATATTCTTCTAAGCATAATCACTATTTATAAGTCATCATTAAATCATAATTAGAAACTCGTAACGCCGATCCAACACTATTTAAAAGTAGTTTTTTTCTTTTCATCATTTGTAAGTTTATGTTGTTTCAAGAAAACATTAATTTCATTTTAAAAGAATTTCAATTGATTAAATACTTTCATGGGCATGCATTGAATTTGATCCAATGTTAACATATGTATAAAATTTAGCAGTATATCCAGTTCCTTTTTTTCCATAGATTCTTATGTTTTATTTGGTTCAAACATATGTATTTATTATCCTCTCATTCGCTTATATCTATACTGGATTACTTCTTGAACATCTTTCGTTGTTCATTATACAATAATGGTAGTATCAACAGTATTAATTAATCTCTAGCTTAACATGAGATAATAATCATCAAAAAAAAAAAATATTCGTGTATGTTAAATGCTAAGCTTTCATGATTAAAAAGTGCTTTAGAGAAGTGGAAGAAAATCAGTCTTCAGTTAATATTTTGCTATTGATTTCTATAATATCTATCTAAGCTTTGCTCGAAGTTTCGATCATTTCGATTTAGCATATCAATGAAAAACTAACATATGAAGCAGTCTCATCATAAAATAGAATATAAGTCAAACCAAATAATCTGAATACTTTCTAAATTTAAAAACAAGTGTATCAGTTTATGTTTTTATATAGATATAATCATAAAGAAAATCAGAAGAATAGAAAAACTATTTGTTATCTTATTTAATAAATTAAAAAAACACAAAGAAGATGAGTTAATATCGATCATTATAACCAGTAAATTTAAACTTATTATTCATATTTGGTTTATAATTACTATAACCATGTCGATTCGATTTATTTGATATTCTATAACAATGTAAAACATATTTTCCTAAATTATCCTTTTCGATTTTCTTGAATTCATCTTTGCCAACAACTTGTGCCAAAAGATCAATATTTACATCAGCTAATGGTTGCCAACAAAAAACAGACATTTCATTATTATATAATTGAGAATATCCAATTTGATTTGTTAATAATGCAACTAATTTATCTTTATTCATAATACTATTAACATTTCTCTCTATTTCATTAGCTTGTGGTAAAATTAATAAATTTTTGATAACTTCAGAAAAAAGTGGACCACAACGTTTTGGACAATATTTTCTTAATAAACCACCAAAACCTTCTAATGTTTTAGTAGTTAACATTTTATATGTAACAATACGAATGGTTTCTGATGTAAAATTAAATGTAACAGTATTATCACGATTTCCTAAAATTTATCATACAAAAAAAAAAAGAAGATAAATAAATAAAAAAACTAATTTACCTTGAATCTTTTCATCAAGTATAGATAATACATGTGATTTTGTTACATTTGTTGGTACAGTTTGATCGAAATATAAAATCATTAATAATTCTTTTCGTAAATCATCATAATC